AAGTTCATAATTGTTAGTGGTTTAACATCATATATTTTGTCTTTTTGTTCTTTAATAATTGTAACGGCTATTTCTCTACGTACCCCTTATGAATGTAAGTATCGATCCTGATATCAACCACTTATTGAACAACACACATAATCCTAACAGTAATTGTCATTACTACACTGCTAGTCAGGCTAATACCCTTCTCAGTGTCAGCAAGAATATTACAGTCTTCAAGTACAATGTTAGATCATTGAGTAAACACTATGATGACCTCATTGCACTACTTAAGTCTCTAAATGCTACTATAACTTTCATTATACTTACTGAAACCTGGCTCAGACAAGATCTGACAGACATACTTACCATACCTGGTTACACAGCCATACATAACTGTAGGCCCGACCAATCAGAAGGCACTGCCATCTATTACTCTGATGAACTAGAATGTGTGAAATCAACTAATGTACGGGACGAAAACGGTGAATGTATAATAGCTAAATTCACATCAAGAACACTTAAGAAACCTATAGCAGTTGGTGCAGTCTACAGACTACCATACTCAAACACTTAAACTTTTAGCAATAACCTTAGAAACATGATAATTGATACTAGCAGGAGATTTCAACATCAACCTTATCCAAGCAACCGACCCTCCAGTAGCTGATTTCACAAATGCTATGAACAACAGCTTATTGCTACCCACTATAACAAAGCCAACAAGAATCTCTGACACTAGTGCCTCGTTACTCGACCATATCTGGACCAATATAATATCCCCACTACAAGCACTTACAATCACAGATAACACCACAGACCACTATCCTACCTTTCTCATAACCAACTTATCTAAACTGCCTTAAGAAACAAAGATTTCATTTCGCCTGCATGATGAGATATCGATAAACAACCTAAAACTAGCTCTAGGTGCCATTGATTGGCAGAGAGAGCTAAATGACAGTAATAATATCAATAAAGATATCAAAATTTTTTTACATAAAACCTTAAACCTCTACAACAAACATTGCCCAGTCAAAACGAAACAGATCACAGAAAAGGCTAAACAGCCCATGGCTAACTAGAAGTATCCTCAAATCTATTAATAAAAAACACCAAATTGAAAAGCAGTTCAGATTAGGCTTAATTACTAAAGAATTTACTAAAAGATACACATCAATACTAACAAAACTAATATGTAAATCAAAGCAAATGTATTATGAAAATATTTAGTGAAATGAAAGCTGACATGAAAAGTACCTGGCAAACACTCTCCAAAATTTTGGGCTCAAGAAAACCGACTGGAAAAAGAGAGTTAAACTTAACTAAACCAGATGAACCTCACATGCAGCCTTTAGACACGGTTGACAAATTTAATGTCTTCTTCTCTACTGTAGGATCAAAGCTAGCGAGCCAAATTCCTAGCTCAAATACCCATCCGAATAAGTACCTCACTGGCAACTACCCAAATACTCTATTCCTAGCTTCAATTAATCCCACTGAAGTCTCACTCATCATTAAATCATTAAAAAACAAATCAGGTGATCTAGATAACTTGCCACCATTCATATATAAAAAAGCTGCACCAGAACTGTCGCCCATTATTGCAACAATGTTTAACAAATCTATAGCTTCCTCAACCTTCCCATCCATACTCAAGACAGCAAGGGTCACCCCGATCCACCAAGGTGGAGATCCAACTGATTTGAACAATTACAGACCCATATCAAACTTGCCCTTACTATCCAAGATACGTATTTGAAAAAATAATACACAAGCAACTTTACTCTTACCTTACATCCAACAACATACTTAACCCATGCCAGTTTGAATTTAGACCAAAAAAAAAAGCACGAATGATGTTATTATACAAATGCTTGACCTAATATACACAGCTCTCGATAAGAATGAATATCCCCTGGGGCTCTTTACCGACCTAAGAAAAGCGTTTGACACAGTTGACCACAATCTCTTGCACCTCAAACTGAATCATTATGGCATAAGAGGACATTCTCCAAATTACCTAAAATCCTATCTTAACTACAGACGCCAGTATGTATGTGCAAATGGAGTCGACTCTGCTATCCAACCTGTAGCTGTAGGAGTACCCCAAGGTAGTGTCCTAGGCGCACTCCTCTTTCTCATCTACATCAGTGATCTCCCCAATGCATCCCAACTCCTTACACCAGTTCTATTCGCAGATGGCACTACATATGTCTACTCCCATTCAGACCCAGCTGTGCTTGAAAACACTGTAAACAATGAACTGTTGAAGATATATGCTTGGATGATGACCAACAAACTCACACTTAACATAGAAAAAACTTACTTCATGCTGTTTGGCAACAGAGCCTCAAATATTCAACTCGACATACTGTTAAATGGTTCTCCTATATCAAGACACACACAGGGCAAATTTCTAGGTCTTCTCCTTGACTGTAATCTTAAATTTCAGTCCCATACCCATCACATAGCCAAGAAAATTTCCAAATCAGTAGGAATCCTTTCCAAGATAGGCTACTATGTACCACAAACAACTCTCCTTACCCTGTACCACTCTCTAATATATCCTTACCTCACTTATGGCATCTGTGCTTGGGGCTCAACCACAGCCAACCACCTTAGACCCCTAATAATCCAACAAAAAGCTGCTGTGTGGGTGATAACCAGCTCCTGTGCTAGACAGCACACCCCACCACTTTTCAAAAGACTCAACTTGCTTAACCCTTTCAGGGTCCGTCCCGTAGATCTACGGCTTTACGTTCAGGGTCCAAACCGTAGATCTACGCCATGAGCTCAGCTCACTCTGATAAACTGTGAGTGGTACATTTGGACCTAGATATGAGAGAATACATCTATGTGGTATGTGTGCACCACATAAAACAGATCCTGCAGCACACTGTGTATAATGAGAGAAAAAAAATGAAATCATGATTTTTCGATTAAAACAGCAACTTTGCAGTGTTTTTTCTTATGTTTTTTATAGTTGTATTTGCGATTTCTTGGTCTCATTTGATAGAATGGAAGACATATTACAGAAATAGAGATGATTTTGATTGGTTTTAGCACTGGAAATGGCTTGAAACTGAGCTCAAAGTAGCAGAAATGTTAAATTTTTGCCGATATTCAAGAGTAAACAAACGACCTCACACGTCTAATACACATCAGCTGGTGGGTCTAATATACATTCACAAATATGGTGATGATATTTATACAATTATTACAGTATTGCATAACAGTAAATCTTCTATTTTTTGGTGTGAATAAAAATTCATTATGTGAATAAAAAATCAAAATGGAATTTATTTGTAAAGCCTCAAAACATAACTAATGAACAGAGGAAATGTTAGTTTAGTGCCAGGAATGCCTACATTGTTTATTCTGGACCCTATTTTGAAATTGGAATATTTTGAACTTTGTGTTAAATTGGCCAAATTAACAATTTCCGATCACTTTATTTTGTAGTTGAAACAGTTGACTTGGCGATTTCTTGTGCTCAATCGATAGAATAGAAGTAATACTAGTGAAATAGCTAAGAATTTGGTTGATTGGAATAATGTAATTGGCTTAAAATGGGAGTCAAAGTCGGCAAAATCCCCGATTCGTAAATATCGCTGACACATCAAAATTCGTGAGAGCATAATTTCGTCAGTTTTCCACCAAATTTCGTACTTTTTGTTTTATTACCTTCACAAAAAGATTCTCTACGATTTCATAAGAAAAAATAACAATTTTTTTTTTTTTAAATTCTTGGACACTGGTGCGTGACTCCAGATTTGGGCCTTGGACCCTGAAAGGGTTAATATACAAGACATACACTCTTATTATTGTGCATACTACATGTACAGAACTTTAAACTCCACTGTAAAACTCCTCCTCGACAGTTACAACAGCATGCACAGTCGCAATACAAGGCATAAGGCCCTTTTCAACATCCCTCGAGTAAAACTCTCACTATGCAAGAATGCTATGCACATAAAAGGCTCAAAGATCTGGAACTCGCTACTGGAACAAGTCAAGGATCCCCAGACACCTTATAAATTTTGGACTCGGCTAAAAAAAAAATCGTCTTATCTCACAATATTAACCAAATCAACCAAACATTTACTGGCTAGTTTTATCATGTGACCTCCTGGCTTTTAATTCTGCCATTCTATAAAATATTACCACCTGCACAATTCCCTGTAAATTAGATTTTGTACTAAGTATGTATACATAAGATTTATTAAGTCCAAATAAGATTGTAAAACAGCTAACCACTATTCTATGTTTAGTTTTAAGTAATAATTACTATGTAATATTATCTTATATAGTTTTAATTAGTTACTATGTATTAGGATTAGTTTGCCCTAAATGCCTCGGCATGATAGTGGCTATCTTTGTACTTAGCAAATCAAAATTGTAATTACACATTGTAACCTTAACAAAGAAATAAACTATTATTATTATTATTATTATTATTATTATTATTATTATTATTATCATCATCATCATTATCATATATTTGAATGCTGTTTTATAGTTAACCAGGGTAGTGTGTGGATTTCCCACAATTTCATTTATATATGGTGACAGTTATTTATTAATTCCTAGATCCTGTTGTTTGTGGTAGCCTATACTAACAATACCTTGAACAAAGTATGTTTTGAGAAAGATGTGCCAAAGTAAATTGGTTTACCCTCTGGTTACTTCAGGATGATTCTATTTTTAGGCTAATCCTTGAAAAATAATTACCATTTTCTTTAGTTTATTGTAATTAAGGTATTGTGTTTTTAATCTTAAAGATTTTTGTATTTATTAATAAAGTTTAATCGATAATTAGAGGAAAGATAAAGTATTGATGTTTCCATATTAGCAATAGTGGGAAAACATCAAAATGTCCACTGGATCTGATCTTTAGGTTAACAGTCAACTCATTTTCAGTGTTGGATCTTGACTCCATAATCCTTTTCCTATTAATGCTCATTGTATTGTCACCCAAGCCATTTGCAAATTTAACATTTGATTTTCCTTAATAGGTGATGGGTCATGTGTTCTCATTAGAGCCCTGGAACCCTTGGAGGGCCTTCCAAAAATGGAGACCGGTCGAAACCAGAGACGTAAAAGTTCAACACCTCTCAAAATTCACGAGCTCTGTAATGGCCCATCAAAAATTTGTCAAGCATTTTATCTTACCAAGGTATATGAACAGCTTTGAACAAATTTCATTATACAGTACAGTATAGTAGTAGATCCTTGATTTAGGATGTTCCAGCTAACAATGTTCCACACTTATGTTGTTGACACTTTAGAACTAACTTGCTAATGACGTACAAACACTGATCTTTAGTTATAATAACTGCAAATATATTCAAACAGAAGTTATTTTTAGTATTTTTTTTTTCAGCAAATGCATTCATATTTTGCATCTGTTACTTATACATAAGAAACATAAGAATTGTGGAACACTACAAAGAGGCCTAGTTGCCCATACTAAGTAGGTCCAACTCGCACTAACTCCCGCACCTGTCTCATTTATTTTTTAAAAGTATACAAAATTCTTTAACCCTTTTACTGTTGAGAGCCCAGATCACAAACTTGCTCTGTGTCAAAAAATATTAAAAAAAAAAAAAAAAAAAAATCCTTACCAAAATCTTAAGAATATTTTTCTGAATGTTTTCAAATAAAAATAATATTTTTGTGATCAGTACTTATCGAGATAGAGGTGTGAAGTTGACAAAGTGAACCGTTGATGGCAACATCGTTGACTGCCGCTAACTCGGTAATATTGTTTTTACTTTTATTCTATTTTTTCTTTTTTTTCTAATATTTTTTCAAGTAACTTTTGTGGCCTGTGAGACCAATAAAATGCATAATATGTATACAGGTCCACATCCCTTTATCTGAAACCCTTGGGGCCAGTAGTGTTTCAAATTTCAGAATTTTTTGAATTTCAGAATGAAGGTGGGGTCTAGGGAAGTACCCCATAATCAGACATTAACACTGTAGCAAAAATGTATGATTACTCACACTCAGTGGGATAAATAAAGACTACAAATACCTCTATGGAATGCACAACAGGTGCATCATTGTCAATGTTTAGCATTTCTTCGATGTCAGCTTCCTGTAACTCATTTACACTTTCGGCCAATAAACTTTTGGCATAAGTTACGAGGTTTGATATCATCATCTCATCAGTGACACGAAATCCTTCAAAGTCTTCATCTGTAGATTCATTTACATCAAACATCGTTTTAGGCCGAAGTCTGTGCCAAGCATTTGTTGATGTTGATTTATCAACATCCTTCCCAGCATTAACAACTGCATAAATGGCATCCTTAACACTGAACTCTTTCAGGGAGTCTTGGATTCCTACTCCTCTGTTGACTGCAGCAAGCATACAGTTTAAAAAAGTCTTTATACTTGCTCTTCATGGGAGTGTAAAATTCCTTGGTCTCAAGGCTGTAATACAGATGACTGATGCTCCACACTCCACAAAAAAAACTTCGGTTTTCAGAATTTCTCGAATTTCAGAATTTCGGATGAAGGGATGTGGACCTGTATATCCACATGTTGTATGCAACACAAGCATTGTTATAATTATATTGTTTACAAAACTTGTTTACACAAGCCCACACTGCCTTCCCCACCACCCATACTGCCTTCCCCACCACCCATGCTGCCTTCCCCACCACCCATGCTGCCTTCCCCACACCAATGCTGCCTTCCCAACACCCACATGGTTTTCCCCACCACCCATGCTGGAAATAAGTCACTTTGTCTAACTTTTTGGGGTTATCCTCTGCACATGCTGCTATGTATGATAATCTGTGTAACTATAGTCATGTATACCTGAATAAACTTACTTGTACACCGTCTTCCCAACCACCCATGCTGTCTTTCCCACCCACACCATCATCCCCACTATCCATGCTGCCTTCCCCATCACCCAAGCTGCCTTCTCCACCACCCACCCTGTCTTCCCTTTTCACTATCTGTATCTGGTATTCTGGGCATTGCTTTCGGTCACAAATTCTTCAAAACCATGAAATTCACCTTCACTGACCACAGACACTTCCATCTGTGTTAGAACTATCACTTGGGAAGAAAAAAGTTCCAAATTTGCCAGGGAGTGAGGCAGGGAGGCAGCTGACGGTGGTACAGCAGCAGCAGCAGCTGACGGTGGTACAGCAGCAGCTGACAGTGGTGCAGCGACAGCAGCAGCTGATGGTGTACAGCAGCAGCTGACAGTGGTGCAGCAGCAGCAGCTGACGGTGGTACAGCAGCAGCTGACCGTGGTACAACAGCAGCAGCTGACCGTGGTACAGCAGCAGCTGACAGTGGTGCAGCAACACCTGACCGTGGTACGATAGTATTTCGATAATATTTCTCAGCCTTTTTATGACAGGGTTGGCACTAGAAGCTTTCTGTGGGCCCATGGTGGCTTAGCAGTTACAAGCACTAAAAACAATGGAATAATACAAAATATATTGCATGTATGTGTGAAACCGTCCACTCTGGCTTGTAAACAATGGCACACTAGCTGAAGGCAGGGCAGCTGAGGCGCTTAGGCTGGATGGAGAGGCAGACGCGTTCGGGACGAATGTCCTTACTTGAGTTTTTCATCGTTGGTCGAGCCAATATTTTTATGCAAAAACGCATCGTTGCCCGATTTTATCATTAGTTGATGCCATCGTTGGTCGAGGGTCCACTGTATTAAAAAAAATGTGGGACCACTTAGTACCTTGTGGCAGCACCAGTTCAATTGAGCACCAGCTAGAGCAAACAGTGCAGCAAACACCTAGGATTCACTGATGTCATGTAGTATTAACACTCCCATTTTAGAGGGAAGTGATGTTGACCCCAAGTTTAGTGGCTTTGAGGTGGATGTAGATACAAGTGGTCAAGGAACTATCAAATACAGTGGACCCTCACCTAACGATATTAATTGGTACCCGAGAACGATTATCGTTAGGCTAGTTTTTTAGCGTTAGCCGAGGCAAAATGTTAGCGTTAAAATGTATCGTTAGGCGAATTTAACGTTATGCAATGTGTTCGTTAGGCGAGGGTCCACTGTACCATGATAATAACCCATGTGCAACATTTGTGCAACACCCTTTCAATTTTGGTACCACTGGTAGTGTCATCCTGCCAGAATGTCTTATAACCTATGCCTAAGTAAAGGAAACTATTCTTTGAATGTGTAATAGTGTTCGCAGCTGCGGCTGATGGCTGGCTGGCCCAATGGCTGGCTGGCGGGGTTTTGGGACTTTGGGCCGTTTGTCTTTGTCTTTTGCCTATATCTGCCCAAGATACAATAAATAAAATTAAAACATAGTGTAAATTACCTAGAAAAACCCCAAAAAATCCAGACAAAGTCATACTGTGTTGTGATATGCCTAGTAAGATGACTGGAAAATAATACGTTTTTACATTTTTCCCGGGGTCAGATATGTGATGACTCCCAATGCGGCTGTGAAATACTTTTTGGTTCACGAGTGGTGTCTCTGAGACAGAAAAAAAAGACGAGACAGAGATAAACTTTAGCTAGCGTAGAGGGAGAGCTAGACAGACACAGATAGAGAGCAGAAACAGACAGAGGCTAGACAGCAGACAGATAGAATTTTAGGTAGCAGTGAAAACAAATAAACCAAAGGGAGGGGACGCTCATAAAAGTCACCACGCTGCACGTCGCATGGCTGCATAGTCAGGACAAAAAAGAGAAAATTTACAGACGACACACAATAAGCGAGTAGGATACAGATAGACAGACACATGTTTGTGTAACATAAAAAAATAAACCCAAAGGCTCATAAAAGGGCACCATTGCTGCACTGTCGAGTGGACTGACACTTCTCTTAAAAAGCTTCAAGGGAAAATTTTTTAGATTTTTTATTATATACCCTGTGTACCAAAACATTGCTAGGCCCCATAAATACTAGTATATATTCTAGAAATAGATGTGATAATAGGATAAAATTTCCCCTGTCACGGGGTTTTTGTGATTTTTGAGACTTTTCGTACCTAATATTAGTGTCAGAAAAAAGATTATATAAAAATCACAAGAATAGTAAAATTGTATTAAGAAACTAAAAAATAACAAATTAAAAAAAATAGAAAAAAAGGTATTTTCGGAAAACATTCTAAAAGCAGCAGTGCTTCATTTGCCGTCAGGTGAGCACCAAGTGCCAACTTTGTGCCTTTTTTCCCCATAAGTACTGACCTAAATTTTTTTTTTTACTTAGAAAAAAAATATTCCTTTTTAAAAAAAAAAAAAATTAAAAATATTCAGAGTGTGGGCAAGGAACTAGTCTGTTTGGACATTAAGGGGTTAAAGAAAATGTAAAAGGTAGACTATTTTTTCAATGTTTAGAGGATTTTTGGAGAAGCACAAATCCCTAAAGGCGGGAAAGATAGGAGGGGTAGAGTAGGGACAATCTTTTAATCCAGGAAAAACAAGGTTTGATTCCTCAGAGCCCATATTGCAACAAAGGATCCCAGGAAGGTGAAAAATGAAAAAGGGGGGCTATTACTGTTCTACAATAAAAACAAAGCACTAAAAGTTTTTTTTTTTTTAAAAGGGGGGCCGTCCCCACTGAGGCAGGGTGACCCAAAAAAAAGAAAATCCCAAAAAGAAATCTTTCATCATCATTCAACACTTTCACCTCCAATAAACTGCTTTTGCAGAGGTCTCAGAACACAACGTTTAGAAGCATATCCTATAAAGAACAAAATATAAAAATAAAAATAAAAACAGCGTATCTAGGATAGCTTTTTGTATTGTGATGCATTTTACCCCAAAATTTTTCTAAACACCAGAATTTTATTATTTATATTTTTGTATACGTATTTTAAAAATTCTGTATTAAAATAAATTCCTCTGTACATAGTAATTGCAAATGAATTTTACAAGTATTAAAGTTATTTCAATAATAAAAGGATACGAGTAAAAAGGTGGACCTCACTGCATAGAAAAAATTCTGGTTAGAGCAAAGGGAATCTGTTCATGAGAAACCAAGTAGAATAACTAAGAGGATTTGGGATAGACCTTTGGAAAAATGGGGTAATAAACCACTTGTTTTTTTGTATACAAAAACAAATCGTGAGAAAAAGGGGCAAAAAAGCAGAAAATTCAAGCCAGCAGTTATCATCATTTGACAAAGTACAAAAAGTATAGTAAAATGTACAGTTGACTTTAAT